CAGGGGTGGATGTAGGGACTCCCCCGCAATCAAAACGAGCCCACACTCTCTCCTCCTGCCCCCCTCAGCCAGGATCCCCCCAATTCCAGAGACTCCAAAATGTCTCCAAACACGTTAAAAGAGCCACAATCATCCCGGACACGTGTGCCGACAAGCATTTTTCTTTCTTTCTCTGAATGACACCGGGAAAGGGAGAGCCCCCTGCTGAGACAGTTCCCATCAGTTGGTGGAAACCAGCGGGGTGTCCCCAGGGCAGCTTTCCTGAAGCTGGGGTGCAGGTGCGGGAGAGGCGGAAGGTGGGAGAACGGGGAGTGGCCGAGGACACCGCCTCCCTCGTGGAGGGCACAGCTGGTGGCCTGGGACTGAGGTGGAGCTGAGTGGGGTGGGAATGTCATTGAGGGGCAGATGGGGTGTAGGCCTGGGCTGGGTGCTTGGGATGGCCCAGGACCTCCCTTTCTGCCGAGGGGACTGACCACAGGGCTTCAGCCTGCACGGACCACCCCTCTCCTCGGATGGTAGGACTTGGGCAGCTGGAGCCCCAGGTCCTGCCCCGACCGAGGAAGGCAGTCCCAGCCAGCTGCCCTCGCCACTCCAGGCTGGCTGCAGGCTCAGCAGGGCCAGACAAGGAAGGGGTCTCCCCAGCAGAGATCCTCAGCAGGCTGGGAAGCGCTGGGTCTGAGGCAGGGACAGGGAAGGTGGAGGTGATAAGCAGATCCGGACAGCAACATGCCCCAGCCCTCGTCCCCTGGGCAGGGATCCCGCCTATGTCTGCACGTGGCTCAGCTGGATGTCGCCCCCTACTTCCACGTTGTTGATAGCACGCAGGTTCTTCAGGCGGTGGTAGTATTCACACAGGTGCCCACCATCCACGGTCACCCTGAGGCAGTGGCTTTCACACGTGATACACACCTGGACAGAGAGACCACGTATTTGCACTCGGCTTGGAAAGTCCTCAACCCTAAATGCAGGCTTGTGTCTCCCTCCCTCCTTCCTGCCTTCCTCAAACAATAACCAAGCAGGCCCCACACCTGCCTTCTAGTCACTCTGAGGGATTCGTTCTTCACTAAAAGCCGTGTGCTCTCCTGCCTGTACTTTTGCATATTCTGTTCCCACCGCCCGGGATGCCCTTCCTCCTCTGCTCCCCACTCTGCACACCTCGCCCACAGGGATAACTGTGCTCATCCTACTGGATTCTCCCCCCTACCTCCAGGAAGGCGAGCCTTCCCTGCCTTCCCCACCTCCTGATGCCCTCCTAGTCGAGTCAGGTGCCCCTTCAGGCCACGGCCCCACCCCCATCCTCATTCTCCAGCTGGACCCTGAGCCTCCAGGGGCAGGAATGCTGGCTTCTGCCATCCACGTCCCTAGTACCCGGCACACAGGAGCGCTCCGCACCTGCACTCCTGCAGCGGCAGCCTCCTAACTTGTCTTTTTCGCCCCAAACATTCTCCAGGAGGCTGTCAGAGCACGTCTGTGAAAATGTCATCACCCCATCGCAATAGCTGACCCTCGCCCACTTACTGCACACCAGACACTGTCCTCAGCATGTCACAAACACGATTTCACTTCATTCTTACATCTCTATGAGATGATGTTATTATTTGCCCATTTGTAGATGAGGAAACTGTGGCACAGAGCAGTGGTCAGTTGCCTCAAGTACCACAGCTATCTATATATCACAGTATATGGCACTCTGGCTTGACACACACCAACACACTGTATTAAAATCCAAACTCCTTTCCATGGCCCTCAAGGCCCTATATCAGTCATTTTCCACCCTGGGTGAAGCGTATCAGGGTGTATTTAAAAATATGGAGGCCCAGGCTGACCCCCTCATTGGCCTGGGGCGGGCACAGGCATCGATTTTTCTTCTTTAATTTCCCCAGGGGACTTGACTGCGTAGTCAAGGCTGAGAACATCTGATCTGTGTGAGCCGGGCCTCAGCTGTGCCACCCACCCCTCTCTGTCCCACTCTCTCCAGGGAAGCCCCTGGCGCCCAGTTCCAGGACAGGCCACGCCCATGGCTCTCTGCCTTTGCAAAAACAGCTGCTCCCTCCGCTGCCCGCCTGAATGCACCCCGCAGATCTCTGGGAGGCGGGCTCCTTCTACCATTGAGGTCTCAGCTGCCCGGTGGCCTCCTCGGAGAGCTGTCCCCGTCTAAGGCAGCGTGGCCCCTGCCCCCGGGCTCACTTTGTCCTCTTATTCTGTGTTGCCTTCTGCAGAGAACCTGCTGTCATCTGCAAGGATCTGTCCAAGCATCTGTGTCCTTGTTCCTCTCCCACCTGAACTGTCAACTCCCTGGGCGCAGGACCCCGTCTGTCCGTTTCATGGCTGGCCCCCAGCTCCTGGGGCACTTCCTACACAAAGTGGGCCCTGATAGAACAGCTGAGAAATGATTGTTGATGAATGAGTGAGTGAGTGAGTGAGTGAGTGAGTGGATGAGGAATGACCCTCATTCTTGGGTTCCATCTGGCGCTGATCTGCTGTGTGACCTCAGGCGAGTAACCTGCATTGCGAGTCAGTTTCCTCACCTGTAAACAGCAGAGCCCCCACCTGCCATATGTGACAGAAACAGCAAAATCATAAGAATGGATTGAACACTTTCTCTTCTTCTGGGCCCAGGCCTCACCCAGAGTCATCAGCTCCCATCTCGTTCCAGGGGCCCCCAGCGCCCCCACCCCTTGCTCCGTTGGCCCCATGGGAGCCCCTCTGAGCGCAGCTTACCGAGAAGCTCTGGCCCCTGGTGAAGGGCATTTTTCCTGACAGGCTTCGCTCCTCAGGCCCCCAAGAACCGTTGACCTGCGTGTTGCGGACCACGGCATTCTCTTTGAAACGGGGGTTCAGGTGGAAGGCGATGTCATTCCCAGAGTGCAGGTTGATGTAGAACCTGGGGGTGGGCAGCTCACGTGGACCTCCTCTGCCCACTGAGCTCTGGGTCCCTGGCCCTCCCCAGCCTGCCCAGAGCCAGGAGGATGGCCAGAAGGACCTTGGGCCGTCTCTCCTCCCCGAGAGCCCTGGCTTACCTCTGAGCACTGGGCAGGACGGTGCCCGACACGGTGATGCTCTTGGAGGGGTACAGCCCACCCAGGATGCTGGTGAAGAATGGCAGCGTCTGTCGGGAGGAGAGGGCCAGGTCAGCCCCAGCAGACAGAGCAGGCGCCACTGCAGAGGGCACTTTGTGCCAATTTCCATGAATCTGGACTGTCAAACGAGTTTGACAACCGTGCCTGTGAGTCACACGTTTCCAAGAAAGAACTCCATGGTATCTTTACTTGGTTCAGTAAATGCCACATGAAAACTTCCCAGCGTCCCTCAAATGAATGGGCTTAAACTGTCATGAAAAGACCTTTGGCCAGGCACGACAGGACACTGGGCTGAGAGGGGAGACCGCATATATGCCCATGGGGAAGGGACAGTTTTAAAGGTGAAGCTCCTGTCAATAGTCTCCTCGTTTACTCGGGTGTTTGAGGAACTTCAGCCACTGGAAGATGCCTCACTGTTGTCACTGTCCCTCGCCTCCTGCCCTGCCCACTGCAAACCACATCCCCGCCCCCATGGAGCACACTCACATAGGCTGGGTTGGGATATGCTGGAGGTGGGACTAAGGGATTCTGTTGAGAAGGGACTAGGAAATTCAGTGTGGGAGTGACACACACACGGGCCCCACACTTTCGAGACGGGATGCTCCGCTGTGACACAGAGGTCGTGAGGCTTCAGCCCTTGGATTCTCCATCACCTTCCTTCTCATGTCAGCCTTGGTGGGACTTCCTGCCATGTTCCCAGACCCCATCAGGGTCACCTGCCCTTCCACCCACAGCAGCCCCACCAACTCTAGGCCTCCCGTCTGCTCTGCACTGGCAGGAGGAGGAACAGCAATGATATAACAGGGCTTGTCCTTGGATGCTGGGCCTTCTCCCCCAATGCTGGTCCACTGTACTCCCCTCCCAGTGACAGCAGGACCAGGTAAATCCAGTCTGCTCCAGACTGTGTTGGCCTAAGAGGAGTTTCACTCCATGTCTCCTGAGCAGAGGGCCCAGCCCCAGTGTCCCCATCCCCTTGCTACACTGCTTTCTCCCTGACTCTGGCACCAGAGAATTCACCCCCTTGGTGAAGGGGGAAGTGGGCGGGGCCGGGGTTGGAGGAGGGGACATGCGCATTGGCTCCTCCAGAGGGAGAGGAGGACGAGTCAGAGGTGGACCCGTCCGCTTCCCTTAGCTCCCAAGGCTCAGGGCCGCATTTCACCCGGAAGGTGAAGACTAGCATCTACTGAGCGCCTATCGCGTGCCGGGCTCAGCCTTCAGTGCCTCACGAGGGAGGCGATCCCGGCTCCTGTTTCCCTAGGGAGGCAGCCAGGCTCCGAAGGGCTAAGCAACGTGCCCAAGTTCGCCCAGGTAGCAGGGGATAAATCCAACATGGTGCCCGGTCTGTCTGGTTGTGTCCCACGCACCCTGTCCTGCCCAGGCCGGGGCCCAAGTCGGGCTGCCCTGCAGGGCTCCCTGGAGCTCCACAGTCCTGCAGTCAGCGGAGCAGGATGTGGGTGCCCGAGCGGGACAGTGATGGGCCCCAGGACGGCTGGGTGGAGAGACACCCCTTCCCCCCCACCCATCACTCGAGGAGCCAAATGAGGAGCCCTTCCCGTCCTCTTACTTTCCTGGGCCCTGTCCCCCCAGCAGACTGATCTTCCTGCCCTGATTGGTTTCCTCTTCTACTGGCTGTGCAAACCACATTCCACATTCACTTCCTGGGTCCCTCTTGCTCACCCGGCACTGTGCAGAGTGCTGGGGACACACAACTGAACAAGCCACAGTCCCAGCCCACAAGGCTCAGGGGAGGAGGGAAGTTGTGGGTGGAGTGATGGGGACAGACAGGTAAGCACAGTTAGACTGGGACATGGTGACTGGCACAGCACAGAGAAGTACAAAGTCCATGGGGACACGGGGGTGGGGGTGCATCCAGTGATCCTCAGGCAGGGAAGATGCTCCTGAGGAGGGACATTTAAGCACAGCACTGAAGGGCTATTAGGGGTTGGATGGGATTTCAGCACCAGGAGAGCATGTGTAAAAGCCTGGTGGCCCCGGAGAGCCTCGAGTGAGCAGTGGCGGCTGCGTGAGCTTCACGGGGGAGGGCTGAGGCCGGGAGATGCACTGGGGCAAGACTGGGGAGGATGCTGCACGTCCTGCTGGGGGGTTTGGCTTTCTTTAGAAGGACTTGGGGCCTTTAGGATTTTTAAGCAGGGAGAGGATGTGAGCAGATTGGCTTATAGGAAGGTCAATGCCGCAGCAGGTGGGTGTGAGGGGAGTGGGGAACTGGACCAGGGTCCTGGTGGTGAGGGGTCAGGTGGCCTGGACCAAGGCAGTGGCTTTGGGAGGGGGAGGTTTTGGTGCACTGGAGAGAGATGAAGGGAGGGAGGGAAGAACCGAGGATGACTGTGGGGTCCCCACTCTGGGTGCCTGGTGGAGGGAGATAGAGAACCATGGGTGGGGCCTGTAGGCCCTGGCTGGCCTGCTGGCCGGAACCAGCCTCTCAGACCCTCTGTCCTTCCTGCTAACTGCTCGACTTCCCGGACTCTTCGTGTTTAACTCTCTTGCAGTTTGTGCCCCTTGGACTTGTGTGGGAAATGGGCAACCTGGGAGAAGTGCATCGTGGAGAAGGCGGGCTAGACAGGGGCTGCGCGGGTGTTCTGTTAAAAGAAAAGGCACCAGGGGGTGAAGAGAAGCATTAATGAAGCCAAGGAGGAGCGGAAAGGCAGGGCCTGGGGCAAGAGGGAGAGAGCCAGGCAGACAGGGGGCGGGAGGGTGTTCAGGACCTCGTGGAGGGGCGGCAGGGACAATTAGGCTCCAGTGGGTGACAGCAGGATGGTGCTGTCTCTGTCTCTGTCTCTGTCTCT